TTGTCTCTATTTGCTATTTATGAACTTATTTGTCTATTATGTCTTGTATCGTATTCTTAGGATGCATGCTAGTCTTTATGATTATTCTATAGTGTCAAGTCTATTGTTATGTATTGTGTCTTGATCTTGGTTTAAAGCTAGAGTTGCCTAGGTTATATATGTATTCCAGTTTCAAAATGATTTTCTTATATCTACCTATAATGTACTCAACGCGTGGGAGTGGGTTACCAGCATTATTCGCTAACGGCTGTTACACCTCATGTTTTTCAGGTACTGACCAGTAGCTTCAGAGTGCGATAGACAGACCCGCAGATTTAGCATTAGTTAGTTCTAGTCATAGTTGCTATGGCCTGTGTGCCTGGAATTATATTTGAATATTAATTGTGGATTATGCTTAGATTAGTTAGTTGTAGCCTGTGCATCTAGGTTCTCAAACCTAGGTGTGACATAGCACCCCGACTCTTATGATTAGTTTATGCTCTGTTTGGATGATTAATAATAGATTTACCTTGATTTATATAAGCTTTTAAATGTTTTAAAAATTAGGGGTGTTACAGTATGATAGCACGAGATTGCTTATTCAGTTATATGATAACATGAGATTGCATAATGTGATATATGATAGCATGATATTATTCATTGAGATATATGATGATATGAGGTTGTTTGTTGAGATATATGTTAGCATGTGATTACTTGTTAAAGCTTAAGTATATTATTAACCATCAGTTTGAGCATGATTAGTGTATATCGCCACGATAAGATATGTATGTGAAAGCATAAGATTGTTGATGTGCTAAATGTGTGAGAAAGTATGCCTATTTGATAATTAGGTTGCAAGCATATAGAAATCCTATTGAGCATATTTAAATGTTGCTTAAGTGATTGAGAATACTTGATCTAAGTGTGTGAAACAAATGTTTTCCAAAAGTATATATTGTAGTATTTTACTGGGTTGAGATGCATTATACTTAGCTTCGTGCTAACGGGTTGTTTTCTATTTGTTTGTTTGTTAACCCCTTTCAGGTGGGCTCAATTCTTGAGAGCGATCGAGTTAGACTAGATTAGCTTAGTGTGCTAGTTGTAGTCTAAACTCCTTTTCAGTTATGTTTATTTTGAGACTTGGTTGTAGACTTATCTAGATGTTTTGATGGTGTTGGAAACCGAGGTTTTATTCCCCTAGTTGTTTAAAGTTAGTTAAGCTTGACTTTGTTTAGTTTTGTTTTCCTAGCCTATGCAATCACCGTGAGTGGTGATTGTGGCAGTGATACCTCTTAAAGTTGGCTTAGTAAGTTTATTATGCTCATTTAGTATCCCTTTCTAAGTTAAAAATCTGTTAATAAGGTTTAAGAAAAGTGGGGTGTTACAGGTAGCTACAATAACTAAATGACCTATTCTACAGGACTAAAGGTAACTAATGCAATAGAAGATACAGTCAATCCACAAGCTGTTAATCATCCTTAATACGCCCCCGCAAGATGGAGGATCCATCGGAGACGTCAATCTTGGCCCGAAAAGATAAAAACGGACCACGACTAAGAGGCTTCGTCAGCAAATCAGCAACCTACTTAGAAGACCGTACATGAGCATCCTGCAAAGAACCAGCAACCACACGCTCCCGAACAAAGAAATAGTCTAACGCCAAATGTGTCATACGAGAATGAAAAACTGGGTTTCTACAAACATAAGTTGCACTAAGATTGTCAGTAATCAAAAGTGGGGGGCAACACAGCGGAATACCAAGTTCACGTAGCAAATTCTGAACGCAAATGACTTCAGCGACAGCATTGGCTAAGGTTCGAAACTCAGCCTCAGTAGAAGATCGAGACACCAAACGCTTCTTGGTGGACTTCCAGGAAACAACATTGGAACCAAAGTAAAGGACATAAGCCGTGGTCAACCCGCCATTGTCATGAATTACCCCCCAATCCGAATCTGAATAAGCAGACAAAGTAAAAGGAACACCCCGACGTAAGAAAATAACAAGATGTATAGTACCTTTCAGATAACAGAAAACTCGTTTAACAGCTTGCCAATGAAGTTCAGTTGGAGCATGCATAAATTGAGACAAACGATTCACTGCAAAAGCAATATTTAGGCGAGTGATACCCAAATATTCGCAAACGACCAACCGCACGACGATATAACTGTGCATCAATTTGTGGACTATCACCAAGTTTGAGAATTGTTGAAGAACATAACGGAGTAGCAACCTCCTTCGCCCCCGCCATGTGAAACTACTCTAAAAGATCAACAATATATTGATTCTGTGACAAGAATAGACCAGAAGATGTGGGAACAACTTCAACACCAAGAAAGTGATGAAGTATGCCAAGGTCCTTAAGAGAAAATCTGGCAGCCAAACGATGTATGAAGACATCCAAAAAAGTAGAGTTATTACCGGTCAGCACGATGTCATCAACGTAAACCAAAAAAATAAATTATTATCTTCCCTGAACGAAATACAAATAAGGAGTTGTCTGCCACACACTTGTAAAAACCAAAGTTTTAACAGAAATTGAGACAGTGCCAAATACCATACCCAGGGAACCTATTTAAGGCCATAAATAGCCTTTCGCAACCGGCAGACATAATGCGGGACTTTGGAATCAACAAACCCCGAAGGTTGCTCCATATAAACATCTTCACATAAGGTGACATTAAGGAAAACATTGTTGATATCTAATTATCTTAGAGTCCAACCCCGTGACAAAGCAATAGTTAGAATTATCCGAATAGTAACTAGTTTAACGACAGGGCTAAACGTCTCAAAGTAATCTCGTCTGGGCTCTTGCAAAAAACCTTTAGCAACGAGGCGAGCTTTAAACCGATCAACAGTACCATTCGGCTTTCGCTTAACCCGGAACACCTACTTGCAGGTCACTGGTACACGACCATTTCGCGGTACCAATTCCCAGGTTCCATTTTGCATTAGAGCCTGATACTCTGCACACATAGCTTCTTTCCAATGAACATCCAACAAGGCTTGACGAACAGTTCGTGGCTCCATAGATAGAGGCAAGGGATGAGAGGTAGTGACATTAACCATCTTATCATTGTAATATTGAGGATTGGGGCGTCGTACTCTTTGTGGCCGAGAAGAAACAACCGTCATTGGATCTGGTCGCGACTCAGAAGTGGTGGGAGTAGGCTGTTGGGCAAAAGTGGTGGCAGTAGGCTGTTGGGCAGAAGTGGTGGAGGTTGGATGTTGGGCAGAAGTGGTGGAAGTTGGCTGTTGAGTATAGGCGGTTGGTAGATAACGTTGACAGGGCACAAAGTTTGTAAAGGAAGAGTCTGGAGTATTTGCGGCTGACAAAGAATTTTCAGAATTCGTAGAGGAAAACTCGAGAGCTGAGGGGGACACGTGAGTAGAGGGAATTTGCCCAGAATTTAGATCATGAGGATAAGCTGGAGACAAATGAGTGGCTTGGTGGTTGTGTATTGTAGAAACATGTTGAGGGGCATTAAAACTTTGCATGGCTTGGGAAACTGACGAGTGAGTGGGAAAAGGATTATACAGTGCACTAGGCTCATTCTGAGTGAAACTAGGAGTCTGTGAACCCGACTTAGATAAAATAGACCAAAAGGGAAAAACATCAGGGACGAACCGAACATGTCGAGACATATAAATGCGACCTATGGTAGGATCTAAACATTTATACGCAGATTGACTTAGGGAATAACCAAGAAAAACACATGCAATAGATTTTGGTTGTAGCTTGGAACGCATATATGGGCGTAACCACGGAAAGCATGAACAACCAAAAGGTTGAAGTTTATTGTAATTAGGACACTAATTAAACAACCGTTGGTACGGAGTCTGATTACGAAGAACATGTGTAGGTAACCAATTTATTAAATAAACGGCTGCTTGAAAAGCATGCACCCAATACGATATAGGCATATTGGCATAGTGAAGCAAGGACATGCCAGTTTCCACAATATGCCTATAACGCCTCTCTGCTGAGCCATTACGCTCTGGGGTGTGAGGCAGAGAGGTAAAGTGAGAAATACCATGTTCATTAAACAGAGGTATCAACTTTTCATACTGCCCCCACCCCCCATTGTCAGAAAAAATTGAAATAATATTACATCGAAAAAAAATTTCAACAAGTCGCTTAAACTGTGGAAAGATATTATAAACATCAGACTTAAGTTTGAGAGGCTAGAACCAAATATATTTAGTGTAATGATCAATAAAGACAATGTAATAACGAAAACCGTCAATAGAAACATCTTTAGTGCTCCAAACATCCGTGTAAAGAAGTTGAAGAGGTTTTGAACTGGACATAGAGTTAGAGAAAAATGGCAATTTGTGACTCTTATTAATGTTGCAGGGAGTACATGAATGACTAAGAACAGACTTAGAATCATAGGCAATTTTATTACAACGAAGAATGGAGGCTAGTATTTTATTAGATGGATGACCCAGTTTATGGTGTCATTCCGACACAGAAATCTTGTTCATGAAATTAACCTGAGGGAGAGAAAATCTTGGAAAATAATATATATCATGCATTGTCTCCCCTCGCATTAGTTGCGCCCCCGTGTATAGACCCTTCACAAGAAAATAGGAACCAAAGAATTCAACCGAAACCTTGTTAGACTTACACAGTTTAGAAACCGAAATCAAGTTTTTATTAAGGTTGGGAACACAAAGAACATTTGACAAGGAAAGCTTGCAGGACGGAGTAGAAAGAAAAGTATATATGACCAGTATGAGTGATCTGAAGCTACTTACCATTCCCTAGCATAATTTCATCAGGACCAGAGTAATCAGCAACATATTGTAGGGAATTCGGATTAGAAACAGTGTGATGAGAAGCCCCAGTATCCATAACCCAAGGTGGTTGCATAATAGTAGAAGCCATGGTGGTGTTTACAACCGGTCGTTGATTGAAGGTGGACACCTGAGATTCAACAACATGAATATTGTTCTATTTTAAGAACTTAGCAAGCTTTGGGCAGAAGTGAGTATCATGACCAGGAAAATCACAAAATCAGCAATAACGCTGCGAACGAGCATTGTTGCCATTAAAACCTCCCTGATTATTTGTTCGGCCATTCTGTTCATTAAAACCACCTCGAGGTGTTCGGGAATTAAACGAACCATTTTGATCAGGAGAAGCATTATGTGAACCAGATGGCATATGTGAGGTTCGTTTTGTTGTTACATTGGCAGTAACCATACCAACTTGCTGGGTGGCATCTCCTTCTTTCAAAACACGTTCAAAATCAGTGAGCACATCAGACAGTTCACCTAGAGATATAGGTGTTTCTCTCACACGAATGGCAGCAACAATGGCGTTGTATTCATCCCCAAGCTGCGTAATGATATGAACGGTGAGATCTTCATCATAGACAAGGCTTTGGACAAGGGCCAAGTCATCTGCAATGGCATGCATATCGCGTAGATATTCAATAATGGTTCTTGAACCTTTCAGATTCTTTGCAAGCTTCGCTTTGAGCGAAACAACTCGTCCACGGGTATGAGATGTGGCAGCACAGCTTGATGCTAACCTTTTCCATGCATCATGAGCTCTAGGTGCAGAGGAGATCAGTGGTTGAAGAGTATCTAAACAACTACCCAAAATGGCGCTAAATAGTATTTGATCTTGCCTGAACCAGAGTGTGTAAGCTGGATTAATATTGGTCTGGGTATCACCAAGATATTGAGATGAAGCTTTTACCATACCGGTAATATATCCATCTAGATTAAATCCAATTAGTGTGGACTTAATCTGTCGTCTCCAAACTGGAAAATTGGAGGTAGTCAATTTTATGGGAAAGTGAGTTGGAGCATTAAGATGAACAATGGTGAAGGTGGAGATACCAGTAGTAACAGCCATGTCAAAGACTGTGGGAAAAAGAAAGGAAAAAAAAAATACTCGTTAGGAAACTGTAAATTGTATATTCACAATACAAATGATACAAGGTATAAATAGGAAATAAGTAACAGGAAAGTATTATATATATATATATATATATATATATATATATATATATATATATATATATATATATATATATATATATATATATATATATTTTTTTTTTCTTTTTTGAATCCGGTGAGACCACCCCATTTAGGTGAGATCATGAGATTCGATCTTGAGCATTCATATTTATATTTGGATGGTTCAGATTTCAAGTGATTTTTTAGTTTTATTCGCTGAAGTAGAATAGGGTTAGGGGCAGTGAGGTAATTTAGTTTAGTCATTAATTCATTACCAAATATGAATTACGGAGTACTAGATATTCTCGGCATATTCAGTAGGATTGGGAGTCGCAGCAACGGTATAGCTCTCACGCACGATTCACATTCCAGCCTTCCATCTCTGTCGTGAGATCTCCGGTCGCCGTCTCTCCCCCATCGCGTCTGTTTGTGCATTCTTAATTTTCCGTTCGTTACCGCCGACTACGAACCACGACCTCGAACTAGGGTACAGCCGTACAGGAGACCACGAACTGGAGGTCGTCGCTACCCACCGCGAACCAGAGGCCGTCTCCGCCCTCTACGAACCAAAGGCCGTATCCGCCGTCTGCAAACCAGAGGTCGCCACCACCGACTGCGAACCAGAAGCCGCCGCCGTCTACCGCAGTGAACCAGCGACTGTTTGTTTATTGCTTTTCTCTTTTCTTGTGTCGTCAATATGTTTATGTCTACCCTATATCCAACCGGTACTTCTCTCTTTCCCTTCCTGCTTCTTTCTTTTGCACTCTCATTCATATTTTGAACGTAATGCAAGTATTTTCCCTAATAGAATATATTATAATATATTGTATTGATTAAGTGGTTGTGGTGAAAGTGGAAGATTAAGTCAGTTAGTGACTTAATCTGTTAGGCAACTCAGGATATTCAGTTAAGCTTTAACTGAATATCTGCCTACGTTGATGGCATGTAGGCTTCTAAACAAAATAGTCCTCCCACAGCTCACGTGTTCGGAATACACGCAGCATCAGGTATTTGGGAGAGAAGTGGTAGATAAAACACTCTGCAGGTTTACTATTCCGAGGCAACACCAATGACTATGGCAAGGGATATTCAGATGATCCTAAAGCTTCCGCTACTACGAGTCAGGTTACTCGTTACTTTGGTTTATGTTAGTCTTATTATTATCTAACATTTGATATCAGAGCCCTAATAATCTCTGCCTAGTCGATTATTATGCCTAAAATCAACGAATTAATTTGATTTATATACATTGAGTTCTTGGTATATATTTGTATATTAATTCTTTGCAGTATGCATATATCTAATTCTTGATTTTTGGCATTAAGTACAATTTAATTTTTTTTTTTTGTTTTTGGAATTAATTGTTGTGTTTTTCCGAGTACTTGGAGTCAGCGATGCTCTCCTATTGCCGGTGACGAGGTGCCTACCGTCGCCAGACTACGAACAGAGTCAGTGTCCACCGGCGGCTATGACGTAGCGGCGGTGCCGTGAGGCATTGTGGGCTTTCATCAGCGCTTCATCATCCATGGATGAACGTGCACCGGATGTTGCTGCGTTTTGTTCCACGAAGAAGATGGTCGAAATCTTCCTGTTTTCTCTCCGAAGCCGTCGCTGTTACGCCTTTAAGTCAGGCGTCGGCAGTAAGGTACGGAGTTGGCATTGCGATCTTCCTGTTTCCCCTCGACGGCAATAAGGTGGTTGCCGGGTGTTCTCCGTCGCCATTCCTCGTCCAAAACGTTCGGTCGTGTGCGGCGTCGGCGGAGTAGTATTGTAGTGAAGCGAGATGGCGAAGGCGCTACACGGATTTCCAGCGGCGTGGCGGCATCGCGACGGAAGCTCTGGCGAACCTGGACCTACGACGAGGAGTTCCGGCGAAGGTGAGCTGGACTCTCCGGTGACGTCGCTGCATCTCCCCTTCTTCGGGCAGATACGGCTGCATCGGGTGGCACTGTTTCCTTCTTCGGTCGGCGTTGCATCAGGCCATACGGCGGTGGACTGCTGTTGCTCCTCATCTGAAGAAGGCGGACGACTGGATGATGGCCGATGCGTCATCCCCGCCGCTGGTTTTCCGGCGTTTCTTTGGAAGAGGAAGGAGATGACTGGTAAGCTACGTTTCTATTTTCTGCAATTTACCATTATTTTTTTACCATATAAATATTGCCTCATTGAATTGAATAATATATATATATATATATATATATATATATATATATATATATATATATATATATCAATTTTGGTAAATGGTGTTTATGTTTGGTTTAAAGTTGCCATCTTTATATTACCTTAATTAATTATATATTATTTTATTAGCAAATGGTAAATTACATGGTAATTGCTTAATTTTGAAATAATAATGCCCTTTAGTTATTTTTTAAATTTTGGCATTAAAAATTTCAAATTGAGATTAATTATGGCATTATTTGTGATTGAACTATTGCAATTATAAACACCATTACAGTAATTCTTGTCACAATTAAATTATTATTCATTTTTGAGCAAATATTAAGTTTTAATTTGCTATTTAAATTTTAATTTAATATTAAGAGTGATATTAATGCCCTTTAGTTTTTTCTTAATTTTGTCATTAAATTCATAATTAAGGTGCATATTAAATTGCCTGAATTATTGCATTTTATTTAGGATTTATGAGTTAATAATATATTAATATGTAAAATCCAAGCATGCTTTGTATATTCATAAATTATTTTATTATAAGTATACGTTTAGAAAAGCATATATTAAGATTGGATATAGCATATTATTAACTCATAGCCTTCATATTTAATATCATTCAATTTTGGATTCTTAGACTAATTTTAGATAATATAGCCTATTAAGTCAGCTTGTTGGTTTCTCACTTAATTTTGAGCATACTTTTAAAACATAATATGAACAAGCTATTTAGGACCTATCTGGATCATTGAAGTATGGATTCCACCTCTTTGATTGATATGTTAATAATAATTGTAGCACTTTTTTATTTTGATTAAAACATGTTTATTAAGTTTCAATTATTACTAACTACCGTATTTTGTTAATGGTATTTATCGTTGGTGATAATATAATGTTTGGATCTATTTCCATATTACAACATTTATCATTCATGTTATAATTAACTTGGGACATTAATGTTTATGGGCCTGACTTAAGCAATTTAGTGCTATAATTATTATCATTGCGTGATTTTGAGTCATTAAGGGTTTAAGGATTACAATTACCATTTGAAGTCATTAAGAATTATAATTATTGTTTTGGCCATTAAGAATTATAACTATTATTTAAGTTGATTATGTTTTAATCTATTAATAGTTTTCAGGGTCTTAACGATAATCTTAAGTATTTTTCATGGCAAGCAATGTACATAGTTGATATATTGTCTTTATAATGGTAATTTGGTTATACCTTAATTTTAGGGGGGTGTATTCAATCATGACTTTCATAGAGTTTTAAAGATTTATATGAACTTTAAAAGTTTGGATGTATTCAATTTAAACTTTTAGAGAGTCTTTGAAAGACAGGCGGTATTCAATCAAGATTTTTAAAGAGTCTTTAAAAGTCGTGTGGTATTCGATTAAGACTTTTAAAGAGTCTTTAAAAGTCATGTGGTATTCAAAAAGTTATGAACTTTTGTAGATTTTTTAATTTTAAGACTTTTGGAGACTTTTCATTCTCAAATATAAATAGTTGAAATCCAACCATCAACCCCAAGATTTCAAAATTTCTTTCTAACAACTTTGAATATTCTCTCTCTATTTAAACTCTATTTTTTTCTCCATACTTAACTTTATAAATCTATCTAAATTCAATAAAATTATTTTTTTCTTCATTATCCTATATTTTCCTCATACCTAAACTCTACCAATTTCTCTCTCTCTCCTAAACTCTAGGATCTTCATCTAAAAATTCAAAATAATATTATTTTTACTTCAATTGCTTGTTTATATTGGTTTTTATTTTTTCTATGAATTTTTTATCCCTAACTTTCTCTGATTCTCCCTAAATACATGAAAAAAGCAAATTTTTCTATCGTCAAATTTTGTATATGTTTCATAATATTCATATAAATACTTATATATTTTAATTTTTTTCTTTTTTTATGTTTATATTCATAATATATATATATATATATATATATATATATATATATATATATATATATATATATATTAACAACAAGTTACTACGAATAGCGAACTACTGTTCGCAACAACAATTTAGAATTGCAAACAGTAGCACCTTATTGTTGTTTGCAGTCTCAAATTGCTATTGCAAATAATAGTTCTTTGCGTGAAGCCTAGCAATATATCAAGTATAATTTTATATATATATTATTAATATTAGATTTTTATTTTTTTTATTTTATGCAACTTGTAATTATATTTTTAAATATTTTATTTGATCAATTCTTTTATTATAAATTTTATTGTTCAATATTGTTATGAATTTCTAATGAAATAATTTTTTTTTGATGTTTATTAATAATATATATATGTAATTAGCATATAAGTCTCAACATATTATGAATAAAAATAATAATGTTGAGAATGTTGATGTGGGTGAAAAACTATATAATAAGAAGAATTTTATGATATATTATAAATGTTTGGTAAGAAAATTATAAATGATAAGAATCAAAATCATTGAAAGTTTGTAAGGATGTATTCAATTTAGAATTTCAATGACTTTTGTAGACTTTTTAAAATAAAAAGTTGATAAAAGTCTATGAATATTTTTTATATAGACTTTTATGGAGTCTTATAAAGTTTTAAAAAGTTTTGAACGACTCTATGAAAGTCAATCAAAGTTTATTAAAATCTATCATTTTAAAAGTCTTTAAAAATCTACAAAAGTCATGATTGAATACACCCCCTTAGTCTCCTTATGACTCAT